GAGATAGTGACAGATTTATTTATTTATTTATTTATTTCCATTTTATTTATATGCCACTTTTCTCTTTGACTGAAATCCAAAATGATTCACAAAAAGAATAAATTAAAAGTTAACAATAACATTTTAAAAACAATTAAAATCATTACACTAAAACAGTATGAAATAATTTAAAAGGTATACAGAAGCTAAAAATAAGGCACACACCCTGGTACGAAGCCTCCCTACAAACAATTACATATTAAAAGTCTGCTTAAACAAAAATGTTTTTAATTGCCAGCAAAAGGAGAGCAGGGATATTCAGCATTTTAGTGCTGAATTTGGGTTGCCATCACTCTTTTCCCAAGACATTCTTCATCTTTACCAGCTTTACCACATATATGGAAGGCAAGTATAAGAATTCATCTCCCACATCCATCAACTGCCTTGAATAGTTGGTCCTTGAATTTGAAAAGGAGAAAATGTTTCAATTAATAATCCAAAAAATAAAATTAAAAACTGCACAAACTCCTGGGTAGTTCAAAGAGAAGGGACTTCATTTTTTAAAAAGAAAAAAAATGAGGCAGAAAACAACCCTGAAAGATTTGCTCACTCTTAGTTTTGTGTGTCCCAGATGGGGTTAAGGTTGACTGGATGAGTACAGGACACGTACATATGGATTCATGCTTCATCCTGATGTTGACTGAAAATTGTCCTAAGGAGGACAATTAAAGTCCACTCTGCCCCACCACAGCCCTCTTTTTTGTGGTCAAGGCACCTCATTCAGCATAAATTAGCTGATCCCTTCTTGGCCAAATTAGCACTTTTTTTGCCTGGGTGAAAAGGGCAGAATTTTTGTCTACTTTGCATTCTTGCTGTGGTTGTGGCAGTTGCTGCATCTAAGTGACTAATCCTTTTTGGCAAGTCTCTTGACCACAGTAGCAAAGCAATGCAGGATATGTAGCATGGATAGCTAAGAACACTGGTGAGCAATCTGTCACTTTTAAGAAGCTTCCTGAGACTTGTCACTGTAAGTTTTGGAACCTATAGAATAATGTATGGCACCTATTTGAAGTCAAACTATCTCACCAACCCAAAGATATGGGACACAGTGTTTGTAGAGAAGAGTGATTCAGCAAGGACTCCTTCAGCACTGAAGCAATAAGGCTAGTTGGGCTTGAATTCTGTGTTGATCTCCATTAAAGTAGATTCATTGAAACAATGGGTTTATATAAATGTTGTCTCATCATGCGATAATTGATTTAATGGGTCTACACTAGTTGGGATTATCATTAGGACTGAGAACAAAGATAGTTGCTAGGCATCTCCTGCAGTAGTGGTATCCTGCACAATGTGATGATTGCTGTAGATTCTATTATGTTAAAGCCAAATAAAGGTATATAAATAAAGCTCATGGACCAAGCTTGGGGAGGGAGGGGGACTTGTCCACCAATTTTGGATGAATCAACCAACCTAACAACAACATCATAGGACATTAATTAACTCAATTAAATATATCTCATCATATTGTTCTAGGAATAGTTGTGAATTCCTTTGCTATGAAGCATATGCATAGCCTATGCACATCTGCTTGGTGATGCATGTGCAGGTATAGTACAGTCTTCCTTGGTGCTACATATTTTGAGTTTCATCCATCTCACAGTTTGGTCAACATTCATAGACAGTTACATGTGCCTTCTTGGTTATAAGTGTTTAATATCTCTGTCTATCTTTTTTATCCTCCCAAGTGTTTACGATTCTAGTTCAATACTGCATAACTTAGAAACATGACTTTGCTGGACTACAGCTCCCATCATGGCCACTAGCATGCTGGCTAGAGGATTCTGGCAGTAGTAGTGGTACAACAAAGTAACTTTTCCAAGCTCTAAAAAGCCCGGGTGCCTTTGTTTTTGATGTAAGGTTTTAGCATTTCCAGGGAATATTAACTTATTTGTGTTACATTAAAGTTATGCTCTTTCATAGGATGTAGCAGACCAACAAACAACTCTTATTGGTGGGTCTGTATGTACATAATTTAAGAAACAGTAAAAGTGACAAGATTATAGTGGATGAACAGATCTGAACACTGCCATTTCAAATAATGGCTGAAATAATGGCACTTCTGAAGTACTTTGGCAGATGGTTTAACAATACTTCACTGACACTATGTTATGTTTCTTTGACACAGTGCAGTATGTTCGCTGCAAAAATAATACCAAAGTTTGCAACAAATGCCATGTTTGATTCCAGAACTTCATCACATGCCACTTGGTCACATTCTTATAACAAATCTGTTCTGTAACAAATACTATTAAAATAAAAATAGCATTTCTCCATATAATGGCCAAGTAATGTCATTTTGTGTTGGAATAAATACATAATAAAATCAATCAGGCTGAGACAAAACTACTAGGGATCTGAAGAATATTCACAAATTTTGCTGATTTTCACAAGAAAAGATATCCCTTGATATGTTGGCTATCCAATGGAAAAAAAAAAAAGAAGGAAGGAAGGAAGGAAGGAAGGAAGGAAGGAAGGAAGGAAGAAAAAGAAAAAAGGAACAGCCCCATAATACTTTTCCTGATCCAGTAACCTCAATGTGGAGCTAGATCAATTCCTCACAGTTCAGAAATTGAAGTTTACTGCCAAATTCCAGGGATTTTTCATCTAGTATTTTACATCAATCTAATATTACCCCAGGTTTCCTTGTTCTGTTACCTCCATCTATCTTTAGCTTTGTCTATCAACAGGGATTCACTAAAGCCATAGAACAATTAATACTGCATTTTGTTGTCTTGAGTAACTGGAGCTTCCCTCAAAGTTCCCTTCTGTTAAATTATATCCTGAATGATGAGAAATCTGTACAGTACAAGGAGAATGTCTTTTAATGACAAATTGAAATGAAATGATCAGAGGTACAGGAAGATATTCTCTGCTATGGACTTTCTTCTTTCCAAGACAAGAGGGAGCATGTGACTTTTGAAAGCAGAATGGCAAAATGCAAAAGCACTTTCACAGCCAATTTCTTGCAATGGGTAGTGATTCAAATGCATCTGACATAAACCAGGATGTGGAATGTAGGATCCAGGGTGCCCTGAAGAACTGAAACTGTTGTTTGATATTTTGTGGATAAGATACCAGTAGTGTTTTCAACTACACTGTGCCTTGCAAGACTTGTTAATTCCCCCTAGTGGGGAGGCAATCATAGCTTTCCAACCAGACAGCTTTCTTTATTCTGGGAAAAGAGAAGTTATATATCTTTCCTTGGACCCTGATGGAAAATGTAGAAGCTAAAGACTTGCAACTTTAGCCAAAATTAATACATTGATTTACTACAAATTTGCAACCTATCATTTTCACCTCTTTCATAGATGTGTGCAATTACATCTTTACAATTTTAAAAGTTTCTGCTCAAAAAGAAATGATCAAACAGTTGAACCTATAATGCATGAAGACTTCCACAAAAGTACAAAACTACTGATCAGCAACTGGCAGCCAACTATCACCCAATGTCTATTGACCTAAAGGCACCCCATTTATGTACCTTTGCTGCTTTCTGTGTAGCCACAATATGAACAAAAATGTTTAGCATTCTTTTCTGCATGAAGTGAATGGCAACAGCAGCTATGCCAGGCTCTCATTTGTTTCTTACTCTGAATGGATTAGCTGTGGTACAAGCAAAGAGAAAGATTAGTGTCTGTTTCCATTACTACTAAGGGTTCTGTTGCTGGCATTTCTCTTTATTGTTGTTATTTTTCATCACTGATTTGAACTTATGGTGACCTGTGAATGAGAGACCCCCAAGCATCATCTTCTGCCTTGCTCAGGACTTACAAACTCAAGGTTATGGCTTCCTTGATCAAAACAATTCACCTGTCTGTGATCTCCCTCTTTTCCTACTGCCTCTTTTTTTCTTTCAACCTAGCTTTGTATTATTTTTTAATGAATCATGTCATCTCATGGTATGTCCAAATTATGACAGCCTCAGTTTAGCTCTCTTGACATCTAGTAAGACTATAATTTCTTTACACGTGCATATTATCATCTCCTGACAGTGGTAACAGGAAGAAGTCTATTCCACCTTGGAAATCTATACACTGCCAATGTATACAGTGTATTTTAGTAAAGAAATGAAATGCATACAGAAATTGCATACAGTTGACATTGTACACAACTAAAAATGCAGTTTTCAAAATAAAAAAATATGTCCACCCACTTAAGTCAACAGGATAAATGTGTTTTTAAAAGAATTTGTACATTAGGGAAAACGGGCACCACAGTTTTGTGCAGAAATTGTTAAAAATGTTTTGCAATCTGATTTTGAACTGGGACAAGAGAAGGATGCCAGTGAGATGTTACTGAGAAAAGCAACAAAATGAAACTGTTCAGTGGGTGAATGCAAGATTGCCCATCTTTTGGCTCTTATTCAATAGGTGATACAGATCCTGTCAAAAATGAATTGCCAGGCAAGGATGAAAATAATGAAATAGCTAAGTCCTGGAGCAAAAACTCCACTCATCTGTTTCCAACTCAGTGTAGATGAACACACACATTAATTTTAGCATGCTAAGGTACCCAGTCAGGATAATCCATTTACATGTATTGACAAACTCTTACATAATGACTTTTCCTTGCTTTTCCTTGTGTGCCACAAATCTCTTACTCAAACAGAAGGTTGCAGTTTTCTATTACAGACATGAGAAATCTTCTTTGTATAGGTGCATATGCAAATTACTCACCCCTTTTCACACTAAGCTAATTTGTGGAATCGCTTCTTTATTATAGGCTTTGATGCTGACTCTGAGAAAGAGTAGCATTTGAAAAGAATGCAAACTATTTTTTATTCTCCCCCCCCCCCCCTCTGTGTGTGTATTATGTGCCTTCAAGTCATTTCCAACTTATGGTGACCCTAAGATAAACCAATCAAGGGTTTTCTTAGTAAAATTTGGTCAGAGGAGGTTTGCCATTAACTTCCTCTGAGGCTAAGAGCACGTGATTTGCACAAGGTCACCTAGTGGGTTTTATGACTGAGCAAGGAATTGAACCCTGGTCTCCAGAGTTGTAGTTCAGTGCTCAAACCACTGTGTCATGCTGGCTCCTTAGCTACCTACATAATATTGCCAGGTGCAGTCACTGCTTTGAAGCCAGATTTCATACCTATTTTATTTTCAGTATTCTTGAATATTCCAGCTAGAGTCTAGTTGCTATAGACATTTGGGAAAACTTTTTGCGGACTCTAAAACAGCAACTTAAGTTGCAACCCTATATCTAATTATCTGGGATGCTGGACTCAATGATACTTAATTTTGGAAGAGAACTTTGCATCATCATCTCCATCATCATAGTTTTATTGTATGATCACAGACCTGTTAAAAACATGCAGAAGAGCATATTACTGTGTAGAGTGGATGGAACCAAAAAGAGATTTGTAGCAGCACAGTGAAGCTCTCAGTTGAGACAAAGCTCGAAGGGCCCAAACAGATGGGCCAAAAAAGCCAGCTTCCACATGGGTTGGAGACATGGCCATTAGACAACACATGCCCCCAAGATGTGGGGAAGCCATGCTGAAGCTGTTTCTGGCCACCCAAACCCAAAAAGAAGCGGATCTTTTTCACTCCTATTTGGGCCAGTAGTGGAGGGCGCCCTCCGGATCATGGCTTCTGCTTGTCACAGTCCCACAGCATCTTGGGCAGGAGTGGCTTCTAGCTGCCTCTTTGTGGCCATCTGTTTCAGCCGTTTGAAGCCAGACTTCATACTTATTTTATTTTCAGTATTCTTGAATATTCCAGCTAGAGTTGCTGATTTGAGTTTTATTTGCTGTAGGGGAATGAGCTATTGATTCATCCATTCACCCCACTAGTATCTGTTCTGGATACTCTACCTCACCTCAACAAGATAGAGTTGGAAAGAGGGAAGATGGAGGAGCCCATCCCCCATCCTATTGCCTGTGATCCTTCAAGAGTGGGGGCGTGCTGTCAAAGCAAATCATGGGTTTTACCATTGTGCCAGGGGCTAGGGCTGGGAGGAGAGGGCAGGACAGCAGTGAAGCAATAGATAAGGCATCTACATTTTTACTCTGGTTTTGAACTTTTATACAAGCGTAAGTTGCATCCCTCCAGATGTTGTTGGACTGCAGCTCCTAGCATCCCTCATCATTGGCTTTGCTTTCTCAGTCTGGTGGAAGTTGCAATCCAGCCATCTGGATAGCCAAAATTTCTACCTACTTTTCTTTTAAAGATGTACACATATAACCTCTGTGTTGATTTTATATGTGTTTCCTTTATATTCTTTAATGAATGAACATTTAAATACATAAAACCTCTAGTTGGAAATTTCAGAGTTTGGAGCTACAGAAGATTGCCAGAGGAGATTGAACTTGCCTTGCCCTTAATCAAGAGCACACACTTTTGCTTGCCTTTCATGGAGGCTTTGGAAGCTGAGTCAGTATTTTTTTTCTTCCTGTGAAACATCACAACTGTATTTAATATCTCAGAAAAACACTTTCAGCATTCAGTGCCAATGATATTAAAACTGTAACATTTTAGTGGCTTGGAAAAGAGAATTAAAGAAAAATGACACTAAAAATGGTAATGTTACACTATTATAATAAAATATCACAAAAATACTTCTGGCTTAAATCCATATTGAAATTGCTCAACTTTCTATGCCAACACAGTTGCCATCTCTAAGAAATGGTAGTGTTGAGTAAATTATCAAAGTTTCAATCTATTCAGGGCTGAGCTTGGGAAAGTTACCTTTTTGACTGCAACTCTACCAACTCTTCAACAACCATGATTCTGGTGTTATAGCCCAAAAAAGCTCTGGATCTGAGGAATCCTGGAGCTTCCTTTTTTCAAAGGCAGCTTGATAAAAATTGATCTTCCTCTGTTATATATATGATAAGGAAAGTGAAGAATGTGTTCCTAGTTTATTTGGATCTGTTGAGTCACTAAAAGTGATTGGCAGTGTCCAGTTTTGTGAGTTACAAGCTGGGCAGACCTGTGGATACAGGGAGATAGATAGAATGAAACTTTCATCCTTAAGGTTTCTTTAAAGCAACTAAAAACAACATTAAAAAAAAACTTTTGCAGCATTGGAAAGTAGATGACTAGATTTGCATAACATTTGATCTTGTTGTGAGCAGAACTGGGCAAGTTTGTGAGGTCTGCTTCATTTTTTACTAGAATCTTGAAGTTCATCAGCCAGAACCAAGAGCAAGATAGTAGCTCAAGAAGGTGGATAGATGATAAAAATCAATGAATAGGGTGCCACTGAGCAAGTGCTCATCCCAGAAATTTCTAGCAATGCCAGAACTAAGCAATGAATCATTTTAGACAAAAGTCCACAATTAGAGGATGCGGAAAAAAGCCTTTTAGTTTTGTTAATAATAGACATTGGGAGTCAGAAATCCTTCTTAGTCTACTGCAAATCACAGAGAAATTGGTTAGTATATCCCAAGTCCAAAACTCACTGCAGAAATAATCCAGTTTGAGACCTCTTTAACTGCCCTGCTCAGTGCTAGGGAATTCTGGGAATTGTAGTTTACTGTGGCACCATAGCTCTCTGACAGAGAAGACTCAGTGTCTCACAAAATTACAGGTCCCAGAATTCGCTCACATTGAGCCAGGGAAGTTAAAGTGGTCTCAGACTGAATCATAGAATCATAGAATCATAGAGTTGGAAGAGACCACAA